GTTAATTAATTTAGTAATAATTTAATTTTGGATGTAACACGTCTTCTGATTGGCTGAAAGTGTTTTGTCTATCAGCTCATAGACATAATTTTGTCATGCGACCGAGACGTTATCAACGTTTTTATCATGATTTACTTCTTTTTAGAATTAAATTTTAAGAAATGACTTTAATATGTTTTCTGTCTATTCGAAATAACATAAAAAATGTGGTGCACACTTTTAAATAACCCGCTACGCGGGTTATTCAGTGTGCACCACATTTCTTAAATGTTTACAAAAAAACAGGCGCGGGAAATACACCCAGTTACATTTCCAGATGCTGGAAAGGGGGAATATTAAAAAAAAAAAAAAAAATTTGTTTAGACAAAAATATTATGGGGACTGGTCTGTCGAACAAGGAATTTAATTGGTGTGGCCTAACTATATGATTTAAGATGAATAAAAGTAATTAAAGTAAACAGATGTAAACAGATGTAAATCACTGCAAAGTAATAAAGACATTTTAAAAATTCACATCATCAACATAAGATAAAAATATAATTATCAAAGAACAATAACCGCAATTTGCCCATTTAGTCGATATGGATTACCTCCCATTGTCAAATATTCGAAATAATTCATATAGCGGGGATTCGGGAGAATTTTAGGCGTTTCGTAGAAAATCTGACTGTTGTTCCTAACGCCCTGATATAAACGCCACTCAGAAATAACTTTTTTCTCCGAAGAATTTCCCAAAAATAGTCAAGGGGTCCAAAAAACGAACGAAAAAATTAATTGAAAATCAAAATTTCTTCTTATATTATGGATTTCCATAATTTTATGAATTACGAAATCTCATAATATAGCAACAAAATTATTCGAATGACTAATATTATTGAATTTCATAATAATGTGTTTAATTAGGATATTTCATAATATTATGCAATTTCCTATTTGCCTCGACTGTGTATGTTGGCTTTAAGGTCGACAAGATAACAGGTCAATATATTAATGTATTCAAGTGAATTTAAGATTTGTTGCAATTCTAAAGTACAATGGGTAAATCAATCTTATCTTTGATGTGCCACATGGGCATCCCTATAAACATGATAAAGTAAGACAGTCCATGCGTGACCCATAGCATTAGATATTTTATGCAGTTCATTGGATATTTTCTATCACAATCCAGGCAAGCTAATAACCTATATTATTTACGTGTCTGAAGACGAATTTGTATAAAACATTGTGTTTGATTTTAATTTCTGAAAATTAAACTTAACTCTAGAACAGACCTTTTATGAACGTCGGGTTGGGACTTTTTTATGTGTTTGAATTCGGTTTTTACACGTATTAAACTCTGGAATATATGATCAAACTTTTCGGGATTCGGGAAAAAATGCTTCAGCAAACACTCGTGAGGAAAACAAATAAAAAGAATCATTCTGTATCATAATTTTAATTTGTTAAATATTTGCAACTCTTAAAAAGTTTCAAAACCAGCTGATTTTTTTTGTATTTCTTCATATTGAATAACTTAAAAAAAATGGGCAGTGTGGCGGATTTACCGGGGGCACAGGGGGCACGTGCGGCCCCCAGTCCAGGTCACCATAACTCGAATAATTCAAGCCCTTACCGTCTCCGATTCTCTCCACCTTTCGAGGTAGTGATCGATAGGGAGCGTAATATAACGACTGGATTATTCGGGTTAAGGTCACCAATACATTTTCTAACATGATTATATTGCTACTGAATCTGCTTATCAAGAGTGGAAATTAATCACAGCTAGATTTGACTTCTTAACTAGCCGTTAATTAACCCCAGCTTCAACATGCGTGATTATGACAAGTTATCGGTGGGTCTGTAAATTTTGACACGTGTGTGTAATGTCTCATTTAAAAAGATTTGATCAAGGAGGTTATATGAGATCTCATATAACCTCCTTGATTTGATGTACATGTTGATTGGAAAAGTACGAATATTTTTATTGGTTTTTAATACAATATCATCCCCTGACCAGGAAAGAAATTACTAACCAAAATCTGTGTTTTAAATAAATATGTACAAATAAATGTTTAGTGCCAAGAATATAAGTATCGATGTATGGGATATGTCTTCATAACAAAATTCTCACATTATCATTTTTATAAACTAAATGTCGTATTTTCTTTTCACTACTATTTTCAAAGGAAACCAATAATTTGTTTAAAAAAAAACTGTCCCCCCACTCTTTCCACAAAAAAAGAATTTGGTTGTCATTGTTTCTAATTAAAACGCAATTGCATTTTATAGAAGATAATCTGGAACTAATACGTTTATCTATTAGTTCCAGCATACAGTAATATGACTGTATATTTTTCCCGTTTCAGTTACAATGTACGTATATGTATGAGGCTAGGAAAAGGTTATCATTTATGAGGATATGAATGGGGTCAGAGATATATAATATATGTCGCTGATGGGGTTTAAAGAACAGAGACTCATGGGACCAATAGATTTAAATATATATAGATAACAGAATAAAGAGGTGATTGTTTGTTGCTTAACGTCCAGTGGCAAAAATTACATGTATGCTTAGGACAATTATTATACAGATTGATTGGCAGAAGAATAAAGAAAACTGAAATGGTAGAAAAATAAAAGATATAGAACTATAGAAACGATGATCTGACTCCCCCCCCCCCCCCCCCCCCCACACCACCACACCACCACAACCATTTTTTTTTATCAAATTCGAATACTGGGAGCTATCTGAAGTCAGTTCATAGGACCTCAGTTTTAATATAGGCGTGGCAATCCATCACTTTTATCCAATCAACTGTCCTTAATAATAAAGATTGGAGTGCAATTGTGTCTGTATCAAGTTAGATAAATATAATCATATTTCTGGACGTACATATGTCGGGGTTTAGGCTATTTCATTCGATAGAAGTAGATGAAAAAAAAAAGAATTTTTCTGGTTATATCTATTTATAACTGAAAAAGTGGCATTAAATCGTAGAGGCAGGCCCTCTTTATGTGAAGAATAGAACATATTGAGCTTTCTGGATTTTCTTCTGTCCACTAGCAAATGTGGGCCTGTACCACTGAAAATATATAACTTCCGGACTAGAAAACACGGACAACCCAGTTACTAATCTTCCTGCTTCCAACTAAACGTCATGTTCTAGATTGTCGGAATCTTGTTGAGTACAGCCATCCCATAACTCACATGCATATTCCATAATTAATCTTATAAGTGTTAAGTTTATACGATTAAGATACTGATTTCTAGTCAATACATATTTCAATTCTTTTTAGAAATTTAATCTTGTGCTTGCACAGTTTAAAACGTTTTATATATGTGTATAGAATTTACCATTGGAATCAAAAGAAATCCCTAAGTGTTTATGATAGGAGACAATTCTACTACTTGATTTTGAAGTTCTATTTTAATATCATCTGGGGAAGAATTACAGGAGAATAGCATAGTAATTGTCTTGTTAGGATTAAAATCAATAAGCCAATTTTTAGACCATGCTGAAATTTGTTCTAAATCGCTATTAAAGACATCCTCTATTGTGTAAGGACTATAATACTTAAATTAGAAAGGGATGTTTCATCAGCAGACAATCGAGTTAGACTTATCAAATTACCAGCTATCTCATATACATCAATAAGGAATAGTACGGAACCTAATACAGAGCCTTGTGGAACTCCTGCATTAGTATTCTAAAAAGGCGAATATGAACTTGAAACAAAAACGCTTTCTTGTATATTTGAAATATAACTAATTAAGTGATTAAATATACTGACTGACTTTAAAAACGCAACACTCATTTTGTTGATTTTTTTTCCCACATCATGTTTGATTCTCATACAACTACTGTTCATGCTTACCATACTTCTTTCTCTTAAGAAAAAATCAACATCTGACTTACCTGTGGTTATTGAACATACCGGATTTTTGAAGTCGCACGAATTTCGTTAAGCGAAATTTGAAACCCATAAAAGATTTTTTCAGTTTGTTTTGCTTCGTGAAACAGTTCTTTTAATCCTTGGCCACACTTAAATCAGTTAAAAAATGTTGCATCTCCATATTGCCAAGACTGAGGAATAAAAAACTAAATCAGCCCATAAGAATACTGCAAACAAGAAAACGTGAACGTGCTGCAACCATACAGTTTGACTTCAGAAACCCGTCTTACTGTCCTTCCGACATCGATACAGGTAGACAGGAATTGTTGCTTACCATCAATGACCAGATCATCATGTAGTGACAATGCAACGTCAATAGAATTTGATTACGCAACGTCATTTGCGAGACATGTTTACGGCCGCAACGTCAACTGCTTATCAAATTGTCGAATGCCATTGCACACAGATTCATGTCATAAACGTTTTTCATAACCTGAACTGCCAAAGATTCCACTGAAGAAAAACATTTAAAGCCCTGAAGTTTCAGCCGCATAATTGCCAAAACCCATTGTAATGGGTGGAACAACCGCATATTCAGAAGGTGTAAAACAGAACCCAAAACATGTGGAACAGAATTGGTTGATCTTTCTGACAATAATTTTGGCGTTTGTTACAGGCAGTCATTGCTTTTGACAGTGCCACATTCATTCAAAAATTTAAAAAGAATAATCTAGTGTTGCGTTTCTAAAGTCGGTCAGTATACATTTTAAATACAATTTTTTCAAATACTTTTCCCACTGTTGATAATAATGAGATTGGTCTATAATTTGAAATCAGTGATTTGAAGCACAAATAAATTTTCATACATTGTCAGATCAAAATATCTTAAAAACCCCAGTCCAGAGATACCGTATACATTCGACTGAATATACCAATTCGATAATTTTACATTCGAACTTGTTACCTGTGTCCAGGTAAAAAGAACCAGCAGGTGATATATATTCTTAAGTGTTTATCACCTTCCATTTTACATCTGACGATGACATTTACCTTTAGGGCCATTTTGTTTGAAATATTATTTTAAAGGTAAACTGATAAGCATAACGTCCTCGCAATTTCTTTTTCAGATCCAGGGACACAGATGTCAGAATGAATAAGAAAACACTAAATTCTTCAATAATATATTGTAAAATGGACAGCAAGCACATTTGATAGACTAGTGTACTAATAGATTTTCTTGTGTATTTTCTATGTTCTGGAAACTTCAACATCCTATCAAAAATACTTAAATTAAAGTCTTAAGTTTAATTAAATGGTTTTTTTTTAAATATTATTTGCAAGGCTGCATGAACATTGCACCTATCGTTTTCGTATATTTCTTTTCCGCCATGCATAAGTTTAATGTTTACTGTGACTTCTATAATGCTTAAAAAATGATGCAATTGTATTATCAATCTAAAAATATTAATCGTGAACAACAACAAAAATAAATTATATATTAAACGACTAAAGCAATTTAAAATTCTAAAGGATATTGTTACAATATTGCCAAAAACTGAGACTACTATAGATATAAGAAGATGTGGTATGAGTGCCAATGAGACAACTCTCCATCCAAGTCAAAATTTAAAAAAGTAAACCATTATAGGTCAAAGTACGGTCTTCAACACGGAGCCTTGGCTCACACCGAACAGTAAGCTATATGAAGGGCCCCAAAAATTACTAGTGTAAAACCATTCAAACGGGAAAACTAACGTTTGATGGGATGTCTAATCTATATAAAAAAAAAACTGTTATAGTAGTCTCAGCCGAAAACAATACGAAATTGATAAGCAAGTATGACTAACCAATCAAAAAATTTGTTGTTTGGGATTATTCATGGTTGACTAGTTCTATATTAACCAGTGGCACGTGTCCTAATTATTAAGAAAAGGGACAGAAAAGTATTAAACAGAAATAACCGGTTTTTCAAAACCATATTTTCAAAATTAACTGCATGATTTAAACAGCTTAAAAGTGTTTCATTTATTTTATCTGTGTGCGTATACGAAAATTGATAGCAAGATAAACTTCAATGTACATGAATTACGAGTATTAGATTTCTTGTGAAATTGATCGATGAGCGGCTTTTTACAAATACCGAAAAAAAGAATACTGCGTAAACGTCAATTAATGGACAAGCAACCCAACGAGAAAAATAAAATTTAAGAGGCATCTATAACTAGTTTTGAGTTGGAGAAATCATTCAATGCCATATGATTCTATTTAGGTTTCTGCGTGTTTCGATTTACGAATAAGTCAATAAAAAAAAAAGAAGTAATTGAAGCCAAAAAAGAAGACACAAAACATACATGAAATAAAGTAATAACATATTAAGTTTACAAATACGTACCTAGGTGCATTTAATAAAGCAACATTTGAACTTATTATAGAAAAAAAGGAGAAATTAAATGGAAACATAATGCGCGCTGTTAAATCATGCTTTGCAAGGCTGTTTAGAGATGACTCGTGCACAATCATTTTGAATGGTGAATAAGATCACATACATGCATTAAGCACTCAGAAACTAGCCCGTAAATAGCTAGGAGGAGGGAATCCAGTTATTAATTAAATATCAAAACGGTGTGCAGAAATACCGCAAAGGACTTCTTAGTGCACTAAGACCAACGTGTTTGCACTAAGGACACTAAAACGATGTTTTAAGACCACAAAGAACATGGATAAAAGAAGATATGAGTATATAACTCATAAATATAAAGTTTGGTGTGAATAGATTTTATTATTTTGAAGTTAAATGACTTTGTAATCAGCGCGTGCCACTGGTACAAATCCAGGATAGTTTAAGAAAGTTTTTAAAAAATTTAAAACTTTTAACCACAGAGTGAAAATAATGTTAGCTGGCAGAAAAACTCCATTTATAAATAAAATACGATTTATTCTACAAAATTTACTTCTGGATACTATTTTGTGATCATAAACAAGCTTCTATCCAAGTTTGGTAGAAATCCGGGATATTTTAAGAAAGTTATTTAAATTTCAAAAACTTTAACCACAGAATGAATGTAATGTTAACTGAGAGAAAAAAGTCCATTTATACATGTACAGATAACCAGGATTTTTTTTCCAAACTTTACTTCTGGATACTATCTTATGATCATAAACATTCTTCTGTTGGTAGAAATCCTGGATAGTTTAAGAAAGTAATTAAAATTTCAAAAACTTTAACCACAGAGTGAGTATGTGGATGTCGCTAGCCGACGCCGACGACGGAATGTAGGATCGATATACGTCTCGCTTTTGCGACAAAAGTCGCAGGCTCGACAAAAATGTAATAAACTGTTATACTTTGAACAGTCATGTGTATCTAATGTGCTGGTAAACAAGTATATACATTCTAAAATATTTTGTAATAAAAAAATACTAGAGAACTATAAAAAAGTGAAGTTTACAAACAACCAAGAGAAATTAAAAGGAAAAAAAAATAAAAATATAGTAGAACATGCATTATTACATTGAACTAAAAAATATAACAGTCAGAAAAACAAAAGAAATACGACAGTAACAAACAGACGAAAAAAATCAGAGACAATTGAAATATCATAAACATGTTAATTTAAAATACAAGCGGATTCAAAACGGTTCAAGGTTGAACGAACATGAATTGCTTTCGATTACACAGGTGACAATCAACAGAGGGTGGCGCGTGTCGATACAACATTAAATAAATTTATAATTACCGGGTACTAAAGATATGATTATAAAATTTGAAATTGTATTCCTTCTATATGCCATGTTTTTTGTGTCAATTCTATCATTCCATCAGGACTGGTCCTTAGTGCAATATTTTGTTCTTAGTGAACAAGTAGAAATACCGCAAAGGGCCTCATCAGTGCACTAAGAACAACAATTTGCAAATAAGTCTATAACATTTGCGCAATTACATGCTTGTTTTATTGGCGCAAATGAATGCTGCAGTTTTTAAAATAAAGTGATACGAAAAAAGAATTAGCCTAATTAATTTGCGGCGCAAATTAATTCTTTTTCAGCGAAATTGGATATCGGCCTTCAAAACACCGTGTGTACACTAACAAAACAGTATTCATCTTTTACGCTGTCTAGCCTGAGAATAAAAGTTTTGGCTATTTGTGTAGGATTTTAATTTTAGAATGTAATGAACAAGTAAGAAGATCGTTAAAAACCTTAAGTGATTTGGAAAATGAGCTATGCACGATAAAAGGAAATAGTTTGGTGCGTCGAAATGAAATTTCATAGAGGCATGTGATATTTGTAAAATTTAAAGTCTTTCAATAACAACCATTTGTGGAAGTGGTTATTTCGATCCTTCAAATATGCGTAAAATAATTAAAATTTATATTATTTAGTCTCTTTCATATATACAACTGCAGTATGTTTATAAATACTGTAGATTTGTATTTGATCATCGATTGCATGCATAACGTCCAGTGACAAATATTTCATGTATTCGTACACAGAACAAATCAACAACTTTTAGAATACAATTGATTGGTTATTTAAGGTAAATGATTTGCGTTAAAATTGGTGAAACTTGGCCAGGAGCTTACCTCTAAAATAAAGAAATATAAAAAACGGTAGAGTTATTTTTTTAATTCTGTATTTTACTCATACATGGACTTAAGCACTGTTTACAGTCAAAATAACAGTTTTAACACCGACAGCAGGAATCACAAGCGACGCTGGTTCCATAGAAGTCTTCAACGAATTTTTATATATCCCTGGCAATTTTCGGTTTATATCAGACTGTGACATTGAGGGGAACAAATACCATGGATGTCTTGTCTTTTCTTTAAATACATTTAAATATAAAACGTGTATCTCATATAAAGCCTCATTTATAGAACATTATATATAATTTATTGTTTCAAGGAAATATTTGGTGGAGGAGAGAGAGAGAAAGAGAGAGACTTATTTCGCGGTATTTCAAATTGGTCTCATGTTATTCATGTCAAAATGTGGTGTAAGGAAATGTTTCCCCTTCGTTTTATATAGCAGGGTATTCTATAATGATATTAGTTGCAGATTTTTTTTCTATCGGTAGGATATGGTTTACAGTTCGAAATCTACGTTAAGTTATAGTACATTTAAAGTAAGTTTATTGCATTGCTAAACGTTTCTCAATCAAGATAAAACGTTTACAACCAATACTATTTTTACGACTAAATATGTTTTATGTAAATAAATAGTTCACGTTTCAATTAACTAAGGTTATTGTATAGGTTAGTTTTTTTTTTTAACATTTTATAAGATCGAATTTGAAATGATTCAAAATCACAAAAAGACATCAAGAACTACGCAGTTAGTATGAAACAAAATATATAATAAATAAGATAACTTATTTGCTTTAATTAACAAGTGAAATGTTTCCAATCCAATCTTTCCAATCTAATATAGTCCAAAGGGTGACAAAAGGATATAAATATGGTCACTAAAGGTTTTCTCACGGCTGGCAGTAAAAAAAAACTTGCCAAAGTGGGGGCATCCGTTTGGTTGTTTGGGATATACTAGTACGCAACCAACTTTCAATCAATCCAAACTAATAATTGTTTTTTTTTATCCCGCATCTTTTTATATTAATTTATTTTAACTCAAAATAATAATTGAAATAACTTTCTGAAATAAAACCCTAACATATATCAGACGCTTAACAAAACGATATACCATACGATAGATGAAACGCTTAACGATATCATATACTATACGATAAACGAAACGCTAAACGCTAAACCATACCATGTACCATACGACAAATAAAACGCTTAACGATACCATGAACCATACGATATACAAAACCCTAAACGATGACATTTACCATACGATGAACGAACGATGAACGAACGCTGACCGAACGTTGTACGGACGCTATACGAATGATGTACGAACGATGACCGAACTCTATACGAACGATTCCCGAACGCTGTACGTACGATTCCCGAATGAAAAAAGTGTTAACTTTTACGTTACAGGGACTGTACTACCGTGCTACCTTAACAGAGACATCACAAACTTGAATCACCTATGATGAATAGACTTCTTACTAGGAAACATATGACAATAATGAATACTAGTCTGCACTTATTTCTTACCCCAACAAAATTAAAGATTATACCCCTACCCCAGAAGGCATTTTTCACTTTTTTTTCATCTTACCATTTTTACTTAAGGAGTGAAAAAAAACCCCAAATATATGATTTTTCAAACCAACAAAGGACGCAAAAGAAATCTTGAAACAGCATTTTCGTTTTTGGTTTTACCTATTTTGTCAACCTACATATTCTAGTTATTGTTAATGGTTTTCCGTCCTAAATACGCATGACGTAATAGTCACTGGGACATTAACAAGCAAAAACTGAGCATGGCATATCATTTAATTGCATAGGCAGATGGTGTTATGGAAAAATATAGAAAGAGTACATATGAAAGACGATTGTCATTCAAATAGTAGTAATATGTAATGATATATTTTTTTA